GGAAGGAAGGAAGGAAGGAAGGAAGGAAGGAAGGAAGGAAGGAAGGAGTGAATAGTACAATTTAAATTCATAGCCACTTGGGCTGGATTTACAGCACAAAACTGTTCTGTGATCATACAAGATATTTGCAAACTCACAGCTTGAGTTTTGAAACACCAGCAGACCACTTGGATCTGAAAATGTCCATACCCTTGACCAAGAAACGGTCAAGTAGCTTATGGGTGGCCTGGGTGGCTTAGCTGGTTAAGTGTTCAACTCTTGATTTTGGCTCAGGTCAGGATGTCAGGGCCATGAGACTGAGCCCCATGTTGGGCTCTATGCTATGCGTGGAGCCTGCTTAAGATTCTGTCTCTCCCTCTCCCTCTACCCTTCCCACTCACGTGCTCTCGCTTGCTCTTTCTCTAAAAAAAAGTAGCTTAAATAGTACAAAGATTTATGTAGAAATATGAAAAATGTTCATGGCAGTTTGATTTATAACAGGAAATTATTTAATTGCTTATTGCTTATTAATAACAAATAATTATTATAATTAAAATAATTATAATATAATTAACTATTATATTAATGATTATTATAATATAAAATACATATATAAAATAATATATATTTTATATAATAATATATAAATAAAATATAAAATAATTATGATTATAATATAATTATAATCATTATAATAATAATATAAATAATGACATTTATAATTTAATATCTAACAATAGGATAATAGCTAAGAAAATTATGGTATATCTTTAAGACAGAATATTATGTAGCCATTAAAAATATTTTATAAAGACTTTATAAAGTCATATGTATAAAAGCTTATGATAAATTGTTGGGAGAAAAGAGATAGATCACAGTTGAATATACTGTATGATACCAATAGTGGGCCAAGCCCAAAATTTAAATAATGCCAAAGGGTTATGGTATTACAGGAAATTTTTTTTTTTTGATACTTTGGCATTTTTTCCCTCCTTTCTGAACTTCCCAAATTTTCTGTGAATGATCAGATCACACTCTCATGAATGAAAAAGATAAAGTAAAAAAAATTAAGATTATTTTGTGGCTTACTGATAACCTAACATTTTTTTCTGGTTTATATAAGTAAAATTGCTAGTCACATGCAATAGCAATGTATATTTAGGTGATGTCATGAAGAGAGGTAAAGACAATTTGTCATTTACTTCTTGCAAGAAAAAAATTGTTTTGCACATAAAGCTGTATAATTTTAATTCACTTTGAAAGTTTCATGCCAAAAATGCATTAAGTGAGGGTGGCAGTTTCTAATGAATCAGACAAAATGGAAATTGTTTTAAAAGATGCCACAGTTTTTGTTTCTGTTTTTGTAATCTTCTTCCTTTCCTTCCTTTAAGAATGTAAATTAAATGAGGTTTCAGGAGGGAAAGTGAATCTAAAAGAGGAAAGAACAGTTCTAGACTTCCTTCTGAATCTCATCTTGTATCTCCAGGCTACAGGGCTCTCTAATTCTTGCCAAAGTATGACCTGCCCTCTCTTTAACCCTTTAGGGCAAGACAAGAAAGGAGACAGGTTTGTGCTGGGCACAAAACCCACCAGGGAGGCACGCT